CAGCGTCAAGCTCTCACCTGAGAGACGCGGAAGGTAGCACTGCAGCAGTCCAAAAGGATTCTGACGATTCTCTGTAGCGACTTCTTGTGAGATCCAAGAGAGCGAAGCGATGATCCAGGCAGCCATGGTGACCCACTTGACGCTGGCATTTGGCCACAGGGCGACGACGCGACCGATGAAGAGGAATTGCGCGGCAGAAGTGGCGAAGCCGTTAAAGACGGGAGCAAAGCGGATGAGGACGTTGCAAACCTCGGTTTTGCGATCGCCGACAGAGACCATGATGACGAAGAAGCCCACGCCGATGGCGCCGCATGATCGGGCGACAAAGTAGGCGATGGCAGCCTGGCGTCTTCGCAGCGTCCTGCCCCCAGACTCTTTCAGCAGCGCAAAGTCAAAATCCAGCGCACCGAACCAGTCTCCAAGGATCAAGCCGACTGTCAGGCGCGCGCGGCAGAGCAAGGCGAGTGAGTCATGAGTGTGAGTGTGAGTGTTTCATTCGGCATCGTCAGCCTCACGCCCACGCCTACCAAGCGTCGGCGAGCGGGCGGGCGGGCGTGACTCAGCTGAGCTGAGCTGAGCTGAGCTGAGCTGACTCACGGCAAAGGCAAGATACGTAGGAGATTGGCGTGCCATGCCTGGCCGCTTCCACTGTCAGGGCGGCCAGTTGTTCGGGGGTGAAGGAGTGAGCAGGTGGGGTAGCCATGCTGGAAGATCTGTCATCGGATGGGACCAGCAGGGAGGGCGAGGCAGGTGGCAGGTGACGGTAAGCGGTTAGGACGCAGGGCCGCGGGGTGAGTTTGCGTGATGGATGCTGCGTACGTACGACACGCTTGACTGCAGCGTTAGACTGCGCCCGTCGCTGTGATTGGGTGCACGGTGGATGTCAGTCTGAGTGACGCAAACCGGTCACTCGCCCGCTTCAATGTTGTCTTGGAAGCCGACAAAGGCTGCTTGGCTTGGCGCAGAGAGCAGATCATCGCGGCGCATACAGACGGGTCAGGTCAGGTAAGTGGCGAGCAGGGATGACCAAGTGAGACGCATGAATGGAGGAAGGCCCACGCAGCTTCGCCTTGGCCCTGACACATCGTGTGGATGTATGACATGCAGTCAGTCGTAAGTCCGCGGGTGAGCAGCGCAGCGCGACTCTTTAGCGTCGTGCGGAAGCAAAATCGCGAGGCCAGCACCCCGAAACGCCGATCAGGCAGGGGTGGTGCCTTGCAGCAGAACAGACGTAGCTACGCGGCGGCGAACTCAATGGCGCGTCAATGGGAAGGAAAGAGGACGTGAATCGAATCTGAATGGTGAATCGAGACGAGCATCACTCGTGACTGCTGACTGCTGACTGCTGACTGCTGACTGATGCCCGTATTCCGGCGCGAACTCTTGACCGTCGGAGCTGCAAAGTTGTGGCGCAAACCAGACCGCACCTCGAGCTACGCGTTCGTGGGAAAGAAAGGGTGCAACGAGGCCCAAACACGTGCCGAATACTGTAGTCAAAGTCTGAATCACCATGCGAAACGTGCAACTCATGACTCGAAAGTGGGGAGTCAAGAATTTTGGATTTGAGAACGCACGTGATCTGCATGCGGTTCATTGATAGAGAGTATATAAATAGTTCATTTACGTGGTTGGATCGGACAGCTCGGTAGTGTAGGGGTTATCACGTTGGGCTCATAACCCAAAGGTCAGCGGATCGAAACCGCTCCGAGCTACGCCATTTTTTGCCGCGCATCTTCATCACCTCCCTCGTCATCACGCAAGATGCAAGACGTGACGCGACTGCACTTTTGGGCTGGGCTGCATTGCATGCACGCGTTGCATGCACGAGTGCGAGGGAGGGGGGCTTGCGCTTGCGCTTTGCGCTTGTAGCTCTGCGCGCTTGTGCACTTGACTCACTCAAGACTGCTTTGACTGCCATGCGACACTCACGACTTGCACCCAACGACTCCATCACGCATCCCATCCAGCACCAGCACCAGCACCAAGCATCATCACATTCCTCGTCGTGTCCCTCGCTCGCTTCAAGTCAAGCGTTGCGCAGCACATTCACATTCACAATCGCATTCACTTGATTCACTCGCACTCATCGACCCCATCTCGGCATCACAGATCCACGCGGCGACCAAGCATGGCTGATGATGCGTCTCTGCCTGCGCCGCCCCGTTGCCAATGTCGCCAGAAGGGAGGCCACTGTGGACGAGAATACCTGGCGAACCTGCTCAGCATGCGCTTGCCCAAGCCGAACGCCGGTCCATCATTTGGCTTCGGCTGATGTGGGGTCGCGCCTGCTCTTTGCATCAAGCCATCGTCGACCTCCTCCTCCTGCTCTGGCCAGGATCTTCTGAGCTCGTCGCGACCATCATTGGCGCCGCCGCCCTGATTGTTGTTCCTCAGCTGACCAGGAGCATCTTCGGGGTTGAGGTAAAAGTGAAAGTTGCCGACTTGGACGTAGCGGGGTGGCAGGCCGCCATTGTTGCGATAAGCTTGCCACTCGGATCGCGATAGGATGGCGACGTGGGCGTGCGCCAATGCTCGCGTGTTGCGCGCTGGTCAAGCCGCGGTGTTTGCAGTGGCCGGATCGCTCTGTGCTGCGGGAATGTTTTGCGATTTGTACGATCGAGCGTACGACGGGCCGGCCAGCGGATTGCCGCGCGTGGTTTGAATGTAGCTGGGCGTGGGCGTGGGCGTGGGCGTGGGCGGGCGTAGGGGCGTGCGTGCGTGCGTGCGTGCGTGCGTGTACAGGGGGGGCGTGCAAGGCAATCAAGGCGCGCTCTGTCAGCGAGCGCGTGCGCACGCGTACGCGTACGCGTACGTGACATCAACGTGATCTGGCCCGCGGCAGAAGCTCACCTTCGGGGATCGGTCCAGTGCGTGACGAAGAGCAAGACATTTTGCTGCGCATCGCCTTCATCGGGAGACTGCATATAGCGCGTCACATGTATCGGCATCGGCATCGGCATCGGCACAGCGTCAGCTTCACATTCACATTCACATTCATCGGGCAGCGCAGCATTCCGTCTAGCTTCCGCGTCCATGCTCTCCTCTCCGCCCCTCCCCCCCTCTCGCACCGCGCGACTCACCAGCTCGAGGGCAATCTGAACTCCAGCATCAGCGTACGCATCGTTGGGCACTTGTTGATTCATCGATCCTCGTCCCAAATTGCGATCCGTCGTCGTGTTGATGGGCACACCTGCGATCACGTCGCATCGTGGCGGCCGTGATCGAAGCAGTTGGCGGAATGTGACTCGTCAGCCTCCTCCTCCATCGCCTCCATCTCCTCCATCGCCTCCATCTCCTCCATCGCCTCCATCTCCTCCTCTTTCTCCTCCTACTACTCCTTCTCGCATGGACTGGCTCTACTCTGCGCGTCCGCGCGCATCGCTCAGCCTTCTCCACCGCAACTCACCGATGCAGCCATCCTCTGGCAGCGCTCTGGCGTTCTGCACCCTGCCAAGGATGAAGCTGGTGCTAAACTCTCCAAGACCGCGGTGCTGCATGTTGGCCCGTTGGGCGCTCCTTTGCACCCTGGCGTAATCCACGCCTGCCAATTGCGTGCCCAGAATGAATGCGCCTTCGAGGGTGAGGGGACCGACGAAGCCACCTTGGAAGAAGTTGATGTTGGCGTCGTAAGGCACGACGATGCCCGTCACGGGGTCGATGGACTTGCCATTGGCCAGCGTGCGCTGGTGGTACCAGTTGGTGTTGCCTTGGCCATTCACTGCGTTCCTCACAGTGTTTTCATTGTTCATGAGAATGTTGCGCAGGGCAGCGGGAAAGACGTTGGTGAAACCAGCTGCATTGCTGTCCAGCACTGGCTGCACACCTCCGGCGTTGATGAGCTGTCGATGCACGTTGACGATGCGCTGCACGATCTCGTGGTAACTCCAACGTCCGCCATTGCGATTGACGATGGGCTCGGCCGCACCGCGGTTGATGTTGCGCGGAAGGGTGGGATCGCCGATCGGCCTCACATCTGGCGTCTGGATGGTCGACCACATGTTGTCGGCATCCGAGTGCAGAAAGGCGTCGCCGCGCATCGCACCATTGTTGTACATTCGCTGCAACGCTGCCCAGAGCGCTTGAACCTGTTGCGCCACAAGACGAAAGCAAACAAACGGGGCATCAGCAACATTCACAATTTGTGCGGACCCAGCTCGGACACTGTGGCTCACAATGAGATAGGTAAACGCCAAATCATGCGGCTTGGGTCGGGCGTCGTCGAGACCTCGCTCGACCGAGGACGCGTCGCGATCGGACAAGTTGCGTCGCTTGCTGAAGGGCAAACCTGAGCCCCAATCTTCGCCGAAGGGCAGGTCGGAGCCGCGATCGGCTTTGATGTCGCAAAAGTCCTCTTCTCCGCCGTTTCGCAAGCCGATCTTGACAAAGGTGGTGACGCCTTTGAGCGTGATGGCATCGTCCCCGCCATCCTTTAGCAAGCAAGTGTCGATATCCTTTTGCAGTGGCGGAATTTCGAATGCGACGCATCTGGAGTCTGCAGTGCACTTTTTGGCGCATTCGCTGACTTGATCGACCTTGTACGAAGCGTACACGTGGTTTGGAAACTGCAGCATGGGTTTTGCACCAGTCAGCGCTCCGATGGATGCTGAGCTGTGCCGCGATGGCGATGGCGATGGCGATGGCGCTGGGCTGCTGCTGCTGCTGCTGCTGCTGCTGGCGTCACTCACTTGCTTATCGTCAAACTCTTCATAGTCGAACAAGTCGCAACCACAGCCTGCCGTATTGGTGGCGAAACACAGAGACTTGCAGCCGAGCTTCAGGAAGCCGCATCCTTTGGGCAGGTAGCATGTGACTTGAGCGCTGTGCTGTGCTGTGCTGCGCTGCTCGCTCGTAGCGCGAATCTCGCCACGATGCAGCGATCACTCACCCTTGGAGCCCTTGTTGAAGTGGGTGACGCACGATTTGCTGTAGAGCCGACCGCCGTCGGGCTTGCAACCTTTGGCAGTACCGGAGCCAATGGCGCCGCATCCTTGCGACCAGTAGATGTACGTCGCGCAGCTCGGAGGTTGGTTGCCAGAGTCTGGGTCCCAGACTTTGACGTCTAGGAAGCGCGAGACTGAATCCGCTGCGACGAGTTCATTCGCGCTACGGACAATCTCTGCGAGCGCAAACGTCAGCAGCTCGCCGATTTCGACGAGGACGAGGCCAAAGAAGATGGGAAGAAGTAGTCCTGCACAACAAGAAGAACAGCTCTCGTGCTCAGCTGAAAGTAGCATCGAGTGCGGTGCGAATCTTTGACTCACGTTTTTCGTGCTGGTGCGTCCCCGAGATGGAGTGGTTGCCCGTGGCAAGAGAGGTGATTGCTGATGCGGTCGAGCTGCTCATTTCAGAAGTGGCAGTAGAAGCGATTGTGCTTACGGTGGAAGCTGCGGCATTCGACATGGATGACGTAGACGTGACGTTGCCTTCGGCATCGGCTCCCACACTCTTGGCGACCTCGTCGATGCATGCGCAAACATTCTCGCACGACGAATTCATAATGCACAAGTCGACCCGCTGCTGCCCGTAGCCTAGGTGACACGCATTTTCCGCCAAATTGACGTAGCCTAAGGGAGAGCGAGTGCAGCCAAGTCAATCGACAGCTTCTCGGGTGGTGCCTTTCAGCGACGTTGCTTGCCTCACCTCCGCAACGAAGCACATGACGAGACTTGCATTTTGCTACCTTTTCTTCGATCACGCTGCAGTCCCGCGGCGTTCCGTCTTTGGCTTGTCTGGTCTGGTCAAGCAAGAATTGGACCTCGTCACTGTTCAGCGCTTCATCGCCATCCGTGTCGCCGTGCTTGATGACGTCTTCTGGACTCGGCAGATCGACGACACGGCGCGCAGTGTCTGCCTCTTGCTGGTCACGCCAAGCAAAGTTGAGACCGAACTGCAGCTCAGTCAGCGAGACGAGACCATCGCCGTCCTGATCGAAGATGGTGACGAATTGCTTGCCTGCACCTGGATCCTTCAAAACCTCGCGCTTCTTGTTTGGGCTCAGCTTGAACATCGCGTTGCCGTGCACCGCGCCGTGTCTGGTATTGGAGAAGTGCGAAGAGCTGTTGTTGGGCGAGATGGTGGATTTCTTTGCATCTTGGCGCTCGGCGAGGGCTTTTCGTAGACTGTCCGCTCTGCCAAAGTGTCGCCGCGGGGTATGTGCAACATGATAGTCCGCCCTGGAGCTGACGACGCTGGCCAGCGATGCTAGGACCAGCGCAACAAAGCAAACAGTCGCACGCATCTTTGCGACAAGCGACGTGAGCGACGTGAGTGTTGGGTGAGATGGTCTCCTGCAAGGACCATCGGCGGACCATGATCGATCCACACTTTATTCGTCGCAGTCACGAGTCGAGAAGGACGTCGCGGGATACGTGGCGCGGTGTGCGTCGCAGATGCAATCAATCATGGCCATATGATTTGATTGATCCTTTGCCTCTGCGCATTCGCCTCAAGTCGGCCGTCGTACGTTGTACGTCTTGTACCGGCACGCACGCCTTTTGGGCGAGTCGCAGGATGCTCATAGCATAGCATCGAGGCGGCCAGCCAGAGCGCTTGTTCGGACGAAACACGTCGCCCATCCTCGTTGTCCACTTCCTCCACCTCTTCGCGCCAGGAATGCCCGCCCGCCGCTCTCGCTCTCAAAGGTGCATATGTCCAACGGCGGCAAATGTGAGTGGGCGCTTGATGTGGACGGAAGAAATTTCGGATCGATCGCGCTCAATCGGCAAGCAAATTGGCCTTGGCGCAGATCCGAATGCATGCGCGCGCATGCCGGCGCACCGCGCGGTGCCTTCGGGCAAACTGAAACGCTAAAACTTGGTGGGACGCTTCAACACCCGCTCTCCCGATATCAAGAGTGGGGGGAGGGGCGCCTTTCCTAGCAGACCCGTGCAGACATTCACGGTTGGCAATAGCGCCTTCACTGCGACATCTTGCAACGAACGGGATATGCGTAGAGTCGTGCGGAGAAATCTGAAGCGGCATAGTCATCTTCACAGGTCGGCCTGAGGGCGCGCCCAGAGCAGAGAAGAAGAACACTTCGCTCTCGTCCAAACGATGCGCGCTTCCTCCTTCACTTTCCATCTCATCACCCTCTTGATCGTTATCATCCAACATGCTGCTGCGTACGCTGTCGTTGGCACTCGCTACTCTCTGTGCGCTAGGTGCTCATGCTCGTGAGTAGGCAGGCACATGCGCTGGCCTGATCAGCCGTTGTCGTCGTCTGACCCGTGAGCGCGCCTTGAAGAGAATTGCGGCGCTCGTTTTGGCAACGCGCTGTGTTCACAGGGTTTGTGTTGTAGCCAGTACGGCAGCTGTGGTGAGTGCGGGTCATCGCGTGCCAATAGGACAGGACAACACGGCTGACGACTCACTGCAGGCTCGACCGACGAGTACTGCCTCACGTCGAAGAATTGTCAATCAGTGAGACATCTTGCAGCGTAGCCGAGAGGCCGTCAGCTCACGAACTATGCACCCTACGTATCCATCGTAGAATTGCATCGACGACGGGCCACCACCCCCTCCAAAGGGCCCAAAGCCGCCCAACATCGATGTGGGATCGCTTTACAGACCTCCCGATGGCGTGTTCAATGGGTTTGAGATGGTGGGTTACTGGTCCAGCTGGGCACAGTAGTGAGTCAGATCGGGCAGTGAACCCATGTCGTCGCGAGTGCCCCGCTAAGCTGGCTCACGCCTTTTGAACGTTAGCTACGGCGAAGATCCAGGTACTCCTGCGTGCAAGAAGGAAGACAAGCATCTTCCCGAAAACATCAACCCTTTCCTCTTTACACGTACGTGCTTCCAAGATGCGTGCTTCGCGGTACTACTAGTTGACGCTCGATGACCTTGCAGACATCAACTACGCCTTTGCCTTTGTTTCCAACACGAGTGAGTCGTGCTGCTCCTGCGTCCCGCTCACTGCTCCTTAACCACCGCGCCTCTGGCCGCAGACTTCACCATCATCCCGCACGAGCTCGATGATGAGGACCTCTCGAAGCGCCTCAACAATTGGATGAAGTCCAACAACCCTCGCTCGCGCACCTCGCTCTCTCTTGGTGGCTGGACCTTTACCGATGGGCCTGGCAGGTTCACTGGCGGAATCGACTACTCCCAAGTCTTCTCGCAGCTTGTTTCAACCCGATCGAATCGCGAAATTTTCATCGACAGCTGCATCGACTGGTGTCGTAGGCTTGGATTTGACGGCATCGACCTCGACTGGGAGGTGAGTCTGCGCTGAGCAACCGTCACCTAGCTTTACGATGCTCACACTCACTCGCTGCCTTCAGTACGTGGGAGACACTTCGCGAGGTGGCAGCACGTCGGATGGAGCGAATTTCTTGACCTTGCTGCAGGAAATGCGCGCAGCTTTCCGATCGGAAGCCTCCTCGAGCGGCAAGGCGGAGCTGCTCATCACTGTCGCAGCACCAGCAGACCCAGCCAAGGTCGCTCTGTTCGACATCAAGGCCTGCCAAGAGTACATCGACTGGTACAATTTAATGTCCTACGACTTTTATGGCAACTGGGATCCGACCATCGACTCCACAGCGCCAGTGTACGATACCTTCAAGCCGACGTGGTCTTTCGATTCGGCCATCCACCTGTACCTAGATGCAGGCGTCTCTGCCTCCAAGATCAATGCTGGCCTTCCCGCTTATGGACGCGTCTGGACGCTTCAAGACGTCACTCGCAATACGCCAGGGTCTCAGGGTGGACCAGGTACGGCTGGTAGGTGCACTGGACTCGCAGGCTACATGGGCTGGTTTGAAATCGTCGAGATTCTCAACGTCAAGGATCGACTGACGACTGGCGATGAGGTGTTCAAGTACGTCCCCGGTGACGGTGCTTATGCCACCTTTGACGATCAGTGGGTCGGCTTCGACGATTCCCGCAGCGTTGCGGAGAAGGTCGCGCTCATCAAACAATATGGTCTACGAGGCGGCATGATCTGGGCGGTCGACCTTGACACCAAGGATTATTCATTTACCAGGAGCGTGCTGGAAGGTCGCAACTCGTGCCCGAAAAATGGCGACTGGCTCCCAACGCCCGCCGGAGTCACCGCTTCGCTGCTGTGCGAGAATCGCTCAGGAGCTTTAGGGAACGACGCAGCCCCACAACAAAAGCGGCTTTGCAAGTCTGATGCCACGTGGGATGTTGTCGATCTCGCTGACTGCAACAAGGGTCTCATGCTTTTCCAGAAAGCCAAATCGCAGTGCGTGTAGCGTGAGAATGCTCTTTATATCAACAGTTTGTAAGAATCACATGCTATCATTAACATTACGTCGAACGCGTGTGTGCGTAAATGGTGTCTGCCGTCGAGTCATTTGCGGTTTTCGCAAAGGACTCCCACCGCTGCGCTGTGGAGGCCTCGGCCGGCACACCCACATCGAGCAGATGATTGATCTCCTCTTTGCGACCGAGGTAGATCAAAATGCCTAGTAGCGGAATTGGCTCGAGCACTTCCACCCTCTTTCGATGCTGCGTTCTGAAGAATTGGTCCTTGATTGCGCTCGACGCATCCCGAAGCCTGAGTGGCAGCTCGATTCCAGCTTGGTGCAAGTCGATGGCTCTCAACAGATCGAAGAGCGGGCCATGTGCTTTGACGACGTGTGGCGTGACGTAGCAGTTTGCGGCCGAGGCAAAGTCCGCCCCACGCGCGTCGAGAAGCGAGACCAAGGCGAGAAAATCATCGCTTGAACACTCCTTGGCAGTGTACGCCGCGAGGATCAGCGCCCATGAACAGCCGATGGCGCCATTAAAGAGAGTGGTGTGGCGGTTGAGGATGGCAGCGGAGGACAGAGACTCTTGCTCTGCATAGAGATCCAGAAGCATCGCGAGAGCTTCTGGCGGGGGCATGCTGCCGCAGACGCCAGCAATGTCCCTGAACAAGGAGACGCGAGCACCACCAGCAACGAGCTCGCGAACAGTCTGCATCCATCGAACCACATCTCGTCGAGCCAGAGCGCGATTAGAGGTGTTGCCGTCAGGCAGCAATCGCGAAGCTGAATGATCCCAAGCCCAATGTGGAGCTTGCACAACAGACGACGAATGTAGCGCGACGCCACCCGGTCCAAAAGGCACGTGAGCCGCTCGAACGAAACACAAGCCGACATGCTCCAACTTCTGATCGACGAGACGACGTGCGATCCCATATGCCACTTCGTTCTCGCGCGCCATTTCCTGCATGTCGAGGCCGTGCACGCCGCGCAAGTGATCTTCAAAGTCGTCCTGCTCCATCTCGGTGAATACACGACTCATGTCTTGCCTCTCATGTTCCTCTTCTTCTGCCCGCAAATTTCCGTCGACGACACACGGAGGCAAGGGTCTCAAGCTGGCAAATCTCAAAGTCGCTCGCGTCTTGCTGAGAGGCTCAAAGTCGAAAGAGGCGTGTTGACGAGCAATGGTGATGAATGCCACGTTCCATGCGCGAGCTGCCCAGCCCAGCGCCGTGGTGCGCGAAAGCGACCTTTCGCCGCCGTGACCACCAAAGCAGACGAGGTTGGGATCAGCGCCATGCTGCAGCAGGAGCTCGAGACAGTGGCGAATCTGCTGCAACGATGCGCGTCCTGCTCTGTGAGGCTCGCTGGAGTGCCAGGCAAGGTACATGAGGGGCGTAATGCCAGACTTGTCCTGCACGTCTGCCACGTACAGACCGCTCTCCAGCAGTGCGCCGAGTACATCGGGCTGGGCACAAGCCGCGGCGACGTGCAGAGCAGACTCGCCGGTGACGGGACTTGCCAGCGTGCACTGAGCCATGTGGCTTTGCTGCTCGCCAAAGCCTTGCATGAGCGATGCCAGTCCACCTTGAGCTTCCAAGCCAAACGAGTCGCTCTGACTGATGGCCTGCTGGGCAGCGCTGATGGCCGCTTGCACCGCGTCCACTCGCATGGTAGTGACTGCCTTGCAGATGGGAACCTCATCGAAGCGTCTTTGCAGCCATTGCATCTTTGACAAGTCGCCATAACCGCCCGGAGCGTGGTCCAGCGAGTCTACGACGAGTCGCGCGCTGCCGGACCCAAAGTTGTTGGAGGGAAAGGGCAGCTGGTGATGTTGCTGCCAGGCCATCTCGTTCCAGCCAAGACAGCTGGCAGCATCGTGATGCGTGAGAATGTCCTGTCGCATTGATCAATGGAGACCGCGGTGAGCCTGCAGCACCCAGCAACCAGCACCAGCACCAGCACCAGCGCCAACACCTGCACCTGCACACAACCGTCGCCCCCCCCTGCTCTCACCCCTTGCGACGTACAAATGGTCCAGCGAATCGCGGTTCATACAGCCAGAGCGGTGGTGCAGCATCATCGCTGGCCGCCCACACAGCTTCTCGTCGCTCGTAGTACGGCAAGCCGGCGCAGGCCCTCGGCTGGTCTGCATTGGGGTCAGGCGGTTGACACAATCACGTGAGTTAGGGGTGGGTGGAGGTGCGCTTTGCTTTGTGGCTCACCGTTGTGACAAATGTCGCCGATCAAATTGTCGTCGTAGGTGCGCGACATGACTGCCACGTGCAAAGATTTGCAGTAAGTACCCTGTGGGGGGCATTCAGACTCGTGACTGCAATGTTGGATGCAAAGTCTGAGCAGAGTGCGATGCGATCGAGTGGATGAGGGAGGAGAGGCAAGGTGTGGTGTGGTGTGGTGAGAGTGAGCGTGTGCGTGAGCGTGTGCGTGTGCATGCAATCTGAATCAAATGTCCGCTCCTCCACAACAACAGAAGCGATGTTCGAGTTGAAGCGCGCAAACGTCCCACCAAAGTAAAAGTAATTTAGCGCCCGCCGCCCAACGCTCGCGCAATCCACAAATGTCCGGCGGCGCGCGGGACGGGCAAACCACGAGGTGGAGCGCGGCTGCGACTTGCCTGCAGGAACACCCAACACCCATGCATGCATGCACCCACACTCCCTAGCGGGCCAGCCTAGCGGGCCGCGGCTTATTCGGTGTTTTGAGGGTCCAAGTGCGCGTGTGAGTGTGAGTGTAGGGCGGCAGGTATGTATGTACGGGTACATTAGCTGTACCTGACCGGTACATTGCGGTGTACAGATATGTGCCGAAACCTCGCGGTGCGCTGGTCTTGGCAACGCAAAAGCAAGAACTTTGGCGGAGCAGTGGTGAGTGGTGAGTGGTGAGTGTTGAAGCGCGGAACATTGGACGCGATACCGCGGCGAGAGCAAAGTGTGCGTGCATACAGCCACAGTCGTCCCATCCGTGCACAACTGCGCGCACATCTGCACTCGCACTCGCACTCGCACTCACAGCTACAAATGCCAATCAAAAAGATTTTCTTTTCTTTGCAAAGCGAGAAGCGCCCCGTCCGCCTGATTGGCCGCCGGTCAGCGCGAGTCGCACCTCGGAGATTTGGGGCTTGAAGCGCATAGATTGGCCGCAAAGCTCATGCAATGTTGCGCCCACAAACCATCGCGGATGAAATGCCAAGTGCGCTCAAGGATGGTGCATCCGCGTGAGCGTGAGCGTGAGCGTGCATGTGCGCGTGCCTACCCGCGGGCCACGGCTGCTCTGCTTCGAACGGAGGGCACCGACTGCGAAAGCTGGCGAGCAGGTTGCATCGTAGTCGCGCAAGACAACTCGCGCTCAGCCAGCCGTACGGCCCATCAAAGTGCTCTGCTATGCCATGCCATCCATGCCAACGATGAACGGGGACGTGGCTTTTGTGGATTTGAGAGCAACTCGGAGTCATTCACAATCCAATCCGACACTCGACGCAAGAGCGACAAGACACTTTCCATCCTCAACACCATCGCTCCACGTCTTGCGCATCAGCATCATGATCATCCGCAACTTGCTTACCCCCCTCGTCGCAATCCTCTCCATCGCTTGCCTGCTGCGACCTGTTGTCGCGCTCACGTGCACCTCCAGGTACAGCGTCAAGTCTGGCGATTCTTGCGATGCCATTGCATCCTCCAACGGCATTTCCAACTATCAGCTGACTCACCTCAACGGAGATTCTTTGAACTGCGCAGGCCTGAGCGTCGGACAGGAGCTGTGTCTTCGAAGCAAAGAGTACGACTGCTCGCCAGTCGTGCAGGTCAAATCTGGTGATGGCTGCTATGCCATCGCAGACGCTAACGGCATCTCTTTGGATCAATTCTACGCGGATAACCCCGGCATCGACTGCGGTGCCATCTATGCAGGCTACTCGGTCTGCGTGTCCAAGACCACCCCGGCCAGCGGCGCCGGTCCTTCTCACACCTCCACAACGACCAGCTCTGCTTCCGTGCCGACCGAGACGAGCGGTGATGGCGGCGGCGGCGGCGGCGGCGAGAGCGGAGCCTGCACCCTCTACACGACCGTCCAGGCCGGCGAAAGCTGCAACGAAATTTGCAATCGCGCTCACGTCACGCTCTACGATCTGCAGCAGCTCAACAGCGGCGATCAGCTTTGTGCATCGCTGCAGTCGGGCCAAGCGCTGTGCGTCGACGGTGCAAAAAGGAGTTGCGGCAAGCCCTACACCATTCAGTCGGGCGACAGCTGCTACGCCATCTCGCAGACTCACAATCTCACCCTAGCAGAGTTTTACGATATCAATTCCAACATCGACGAAAATTGCTCCAACATTCAGCCAGATGAGGTCGTCTGCGTAGCTAAGCGCAGTCCGAATGACGAGCCGCCTGCTTCTTCGAACTGTTCTCGATTCGCTTCGGTGCGAGTGGCGGACACGTGCGAGAAGATTGCTGCTCGATCTTCCCTCACTTCTGTCCAGTTGCGAGGACTGAATTATCCGCTCGACTGTAGTCATCTGCGCGTGGGCGACCAGCTTTGCACTTTTGCACCCGATGCCAACTTTTGTCCCCAGCTGCACATCGTCAAGCACAACGACACGTGCTACGATTTGGCTCAGAATGCTTCCATGAGTCTTCAGGAGTGGACCAGCGTCAATGACTATGGCAAGGAAGCCGTTGACTGCGATGCCTTGATTCTGAGCTCCATCGTCTGTCAAGCTCATGGCAATGCTACGCTGCCCGCTGGAGGACAGGGCAACTCGACGGATCTACCGCTGTGCTCGAAATGCAACGACGATACGCATTGCTGCTCAAAATATAGCGTCTGCGCTCCGCTAGCTTCCGACTTTTGCAAGCGCGACGAGGGCGTGAGTGGCGGCGCAGAGACTGGCAGAGACGTTGCGCAGACTGATTATATGTTAGCACCCATTCTATACCAGTGTCAAGGCAATTGTCAAGGCGACCAAGGCGTGAGCATACCCGACGGTCAAGATGGTGGAGCTGGCCCAATCGGCAGCAACTACACGTGAGTCGAGGCAAGCGCTCGGATCCAGCAAAGCAGTAAACCGACTACCGTGTATTTTTTGCAGCTATCCACCCATTCACACCAGCTGCAACAATTGCTCTGCCACCGAGTGCTGCAGCAATGTCGGAGGCAAGGACATGTGTCTGCCAAGCGATACGTGGTACTGCCTTTCCACTAATGGCTGCGTCGATCACTGCACCGACATTGCCGACTTGGCTCTGATTGCGGATCCACAATTCACGCAGATCGCGGATGCTCCAACGTGGCAGTTTCCCAGCGGAGACTTTCCGGATGGTGATCCCTGCGCATGTGGCGACGATTTTAAATGCTGCGCATCGTCCGGGAAATATCTCACCAAGAGTCAGGACGAAGACGATTGCTACATTGGAGCAGGGTGTCTGTACAATTGTTACGATGTGCGATGGTGAGTCACTTGTTTGCTATGGCTGACTCGCTCGACGGACGGATCTCTGACCCACCCGAGGGCTCGCAGGTCTGCAGATGAGAATGAAGGCTCGTCCGTGGTTGAAGTGAAGCACCCTTATAGTTCAAAGGCGGACACTTCTAGCTCGTCTCGTCGCCGCCGCCACGAGCATCGTACGCGCAGCAATCGCAGTAGGTTGGAGAGGCTGACAGACAAACTCGGGCTCTACATAAGACACTGAGGGTTTCACTCGAAGGCGTGGCGAGCGCAGTTTCATGCATCAATATCGTGGTGTCCGCAGCGCTACGCCTGGTCGTGACCTCGAGAAACAAAGTCGACGTATGCATCGCTGACCTTATACGCCTGCGTCGTGCGGATCGTGTGTGGTAGAGTGATGATAGTCTTTGTGATGAAGAGCCATGCTCTCTGCGTGTAGTCAATGTGAAGAATCGTGCGTGGCACGCGTGGCGCGTCAAACAGTGTCGGATCCTCAGCGTCTGCATCAGCCTCAGCATCAGCTAAGTTGCGCGCAAAATTGCCGCTTGTGTCGAGAAAGGGTGACAGGTTAACACTGAAACAGAGTGTGTGTGAATGCCTGTTAAGGCGAGAGCTGGTGAGGGGCAGGGTTACAAGGGTGTCTGGAATTAGGGTTGGAGATGTTTGATAGCCAGTTTGTAGAGCACATTGAGGAGTGTCTTGTGGCAGAATAGTTTTGGATTTGCGACAGCCATTTCTGCATGAGGAGACCCAAAGGGCAAGTGTGGGGTGAATTTGGCTGGTGGCTACTGGTATAAGTTGAGGATTTCACGCTGTAACATACACTCCCATACGCGCCATACGGGGTGCCATGCGCGCGCATGCGCCGCCGTGAAGGCTCTGACTGTGAAATCAAATTTGATCCCACACCCAAGCAAGCACGCTTGCCCGCCCGCACGCGCACGCGCATAGGTTCAGACTGCGCTGGCTGTGAGATCAGAACTGATCCCACACCAGCACAGATCCAGCTGCTTCATCAGCTTCTGGTCTGTCTGGTCCATCAGCTCCCATTACGTCTGCTTCTGTGGCTCCGCAGGCCTCAAGCTCTTTGACCAGCTTGGACACTCTATCATTCTCTGGACCTCCAAATGGCCCTTTGAATGCTATGCATGACCCAATCTAGAGGACAAGAAAATGGATTCTGAGCCTTTCAATTGAAGCTCCAGGTAGAGTTGCCCAAGACGCGCATTCCAAAACATTCTCACAATGCTCTGTGGGAAACGTCTCAAAAGTGCCGTAAGCATTGCAGTGCACTCATTAACCGCTACACGCACCGCAATGATTGCCACAACACATACATAAAAGAGACCCGCATTTGCGAGGAAGCCGTAGAGAGTAGAATCACTGAATGTCACGCCGTCTCTAAGTCCCGCTTGGCGCTCAAGGACCGGCCTCTTGGACAGATTGATTCTTACAAGAAAATTTTTGCACTGAATGGCATCTCTTTGCCAAGTGAGGACCACTTCCAAAATTTAAAGCTACGAGGTGTCTACATGCACACCCTGACCCATCATTGTCTGGTAAGTACTTCGCCCAATGAAGATCAATCTTTAGCATGTGCTGACATGAAGGCTACCACCATCACAAGAATGGTGCGTTGCAGAGAGTCTGAAGCGGCTGCAACCCGCCAGCATTCAGCCTGAAGCCACTGCTGGACCTTCAAACTTGCAGACCGCCACTCACAGCGCCAATCCCGTCGCCACTGTGCTGACGGCCCCTGCGGACATTCATTTTTGGCCCCAGCTCCAAGGCGATGGCTCTACTGGCTTTGGGTTCCCTTTGCAACCTGCGCGCATTGCTCCGAACAATATGCGGGGACCTCCGGTCGACTGGACTCAGCTGCTGGCCGATCATCAGTTCAACTTCAACCCGTATGCCTTCGGCCCTTAGGGGCAAATGAGCAGTCAGCAGAGTATGAAGATGGGAGGATGCTAGTGCATGTAAGTGAGAGAGTTGGGAGGTGTGCACAAAGCAACAAGCAGGGGCGTGCTGGGATGCAAGCAGTTTTTGTGCGCAAAGAGAGGGCTTAGCAGGCATACATTGCAGTCAGTGGGTGAGAGAGCTGTAAAGTCATGGAGCAGAATAGAGTTGCAAGAATGATAGTGCAAGTAGGCAAGGCACCAGAACAGTCAAAGGATGCAGAGCATGTGTAGCAGGTGTGGAGCATGCAAGGCAGTGGGCAAGAGTCTAGAACAGTCAAGCAACAAGCATTGGTGGCAGGAAGATGTTTGCAGG